AGCATCCTCCTCCAAGCTGGAGCCCCCAAATGTTTTGGATCATATCTCTCAGCATCCCTAACCATAGCTACAGCTGATGGGAACTCTAGTCCAAACCCTCAGGAAGACAATTTCTTGGGGTGACATAATCTTATGACTTATAAGATAACAAAACTGATTCTTACATCTAAAAATTTTGCAGGTGACTCAAGCAGTGTGACTGTATGTGAAAGATCACTCCAATGGATACAGTGGAATTTACTTCTGAGCGAACATGTATATGTTTAACTGTACTTTAGGGTCCTTCCAGCTTAATGCAATCTAGAACTGCTGGGCTCTTGAAGCTACATTGGTTCTTGACAGGCAACACAGCTTCTGGAAGTCAGGGCGGGGGGGGGGGGGCACTGCATTCCACCTATCATGAGGCATGCTAGAGTGGCGGAGGGGTGGGGAGTGCTTTTCCTCTATATTACTGGATTCTTCCAGGCAGCAGAGGGTTTGGGCTGCTTGGTTGTCACTCTTCCACTACGCCACATGTGGAATTGCAAGGCACATTTCAGGCCTTCGTGGTTCTAAAGCTTATATATATATATATATATGTGTGTGTGTGTGTGTGTGTGTGTGTGTGTGTGTGTGTGTGTCCATATAGCTCCTTTCCATCCATGCTAGTGGATATAACATCACACATGGCAAGAGAGTAATTAATAGCAATCGGTCTTAAAATCTGTGTTATCACATTTATTTCATTTAAACTATTTGGTCTAGTATCCTGCTTCCAGCTGTGACCAACCAGATCCCCCTCAGATGTGTGCAAAGAGACAAGGGGCTGGCAGTCTTCCCCTTTAGTTTGCCCCAGTGCTTGGTACTCAGAGAACTACAAATGGAATGATTAACTTACCACCCCGCACCATGCATATCTGCTGCGTGTCTCATTTCCACCAAGTTTAAGTGTAATTTCGTATCATCAGGTGCTAGAGTAAAAACAAGCAAACAAAATTGTCTTCCTTCCCACATACTTCTGACTAATGCTGCTGAACACACAAAGGCACATGATTGCTCTTTCTCTGATTCGCCTTTGGAAAGCTGCCCATACGCTGGTGCTGTTTACTGTTGACTTTGTAATATTGCGCCTGCTATTTTAAGTATTTTTATTTTGTTCTTCGCTGTTCTTTGCACTGCTTTCTAATTCTCTCTCCAGTGACTCAGATGAGATTGTGCTTTTAAAGGCTGGGCAGCCACGTAGGTAAGAGAACTGTGCTGAACAGTGAAATAATACAATTGGACAATGATGCTTGGCACCGGGGTCAAAAGATATGATTCAGGAGCTAGGAATGTGTGCTGTGGATGCCACTTTGCTTAGGTCAAGATAATTTTCTGCAGACTTGTGTTCCCACCTACAGTGTAACGTAAGCACCCACTAATCAGTGAAAGAGCTGACTAATGCTAGAGTTTCTTATGACTGTGCCACAGTGAAGGCACACTTTGAGGTACTTGGCTGTTAGTGCTAGTTGTTGAAATGAAGCTGAAGAGAGTCCTTTAACAGACGGGCTTCCTGCTGTTCAGAATTTCCAACCTTTATCTTCAGGAATCAAACATTAAGGATTTATATTTCTCCGTTTTGAAAGGTGGCAAGCGTTTGGCTCGATTCCTGAGACGCCGATCGCTGCATCGTTAACTGGTGGAGTTGGCATGAGAAATTTACAACCAGTTCTGCCATGAGCAAGCAGCTGCTGCCAAACAAGATGCCATCAGAGTTTAGGAACATGTGTGTTCTCCTGCCAAACCGAGATCAACTCAGTGTGACTGTTGGGGTAAGTGGGTCTATGCCTCCTTTTGGGATCACAGTGTGAATGATGCTAATAGTTGCCTGTTGTGTCCAGGGAACCAGCACAGGAGATAAAGCTGAGTTCTGGAATTCTCAAAAATGGAAAGAAAACAATACTAGCTGAAAAACAGTGCCCCAATTGAATATTTGCCAATTGACCCAAATGGATAGCCTTCAGAAGAGGACCAGCCTAGCAGAGAGCTTCTGGCTATGGGGAGGCATACAAATGCAATAAATAAATAAATAATCTTGCTTCTTGAAAGTGGTGACTCCTGTTGCATTTGGTGACTAGGATTTGCTTTTTCTGAAATTGCTTTTAAATCTACCTAGTAGTTTTACAACATTTGAAAACAAAGGTCCATTTGTTTATCAGTAAATTGCAGATCAGTCTTTGGACTTCACCAAGTAGTTTTTGACTTCATGTCTGCTGATCCAGGAGTTTAGCTGTGTTAATTTCCAGTGCAGAAGATTTTTGGGAATCATAGTGTGCAAAGTTTTATTTCCACGTATAGGCTGGGCAAAAATTAGATGGTTATAGAATGTGCCGAGGCTCCCTAAAACAAAGCCCTTCAGAAATGCAAAACATGAAAAGTGGTCCAAGAATTAAGATAGAAGAAATTGTACCCGTCTGTCTGCAATAGCTCTTATGCACTATGGATATTAATGGGATTTGGTTTTCTTTGTCCTCTGATGGTTTTGTAAGGAACATAGTTTAAATAGTTTTACAGTAGTTGAAAACAAACTCCATTGGTTTTTGTGCTTCAAAAAATCCACATATTAATGAAGAAGAAAAAAGTCTATCAATGCTGTGAAATTTGTATAAGGATTTGTAACACTGACCTGTTCGGGGATTTTCTGTCTATGAAAATGCATATTTTGAGCCAACCACCTACTTATTTTCATGCACAGACCTGCCTGTTTTCTTTTTCATCTATTCATCCAATAAAACAGTCATTCCAAAAAAAGAAAGAACAAAAAAAGAAGGGTAAAATCATTAAAGGGCCCTGCTGCTGTTGACGGGTGTAAAGTTACTGAGCACTTTAAAGGCATCGCTAGAAGAAAATACATGTACATGTTTGAAATAAATTATCAAAGTACTGTATTCTCCCACGCAGTTTTTCCTTAACGTGACCATTCCAAGAAGAGTCAGAAGTAGTAGCCCACATAACCAAGGGGGGGTATGTTAAGGTATTGTTCCATTTCCTCACCCCCTTTCAAATGATCTGTTAAGGAAGATTCACACACAATTTATTGGTTTTTTATTAACATTTACCATATTTTTCTATGTAAGATTTTCCAAGGAGGTTTACTCTTCCCTCGCCATTCTGCTGTGGTCAACTCACAGTGAGAATTCTAAGAGAACCATGTGTTACCCTTCTGATTGTTATCTCTGTTCTTTTCTTGTTCTGTTCCCCATCTCCCCATCTGCTTTCTTCCACTTTAGATTGTAAGCTTCTTAGGACCTCTCTCTCCTCACTTCTGTGTTATTCAGTAAAGCATCATATGCATAGATGATCTCTGCAAACAATGCATAGTAATAATAATACAGTCTTGTGAATGGATTCGACATATACCCATTATGCCCAGCTCTTGACTCTTAGGTAGGTATAGCAACTGAGCATCTGAATATGTATGGTTTTACCTACTTTTTAAGACCAGGTTCCATGTGGCTGGCATTACTGAACTGGGAAAGTGTCAGAGTAGCACTTGGAAAATCCTTAGCAGGATTTTAATACCCACAACTGATGTGGCAAAATTGAAGTGATCCACACTCCACAACTGAGTTTCCATCTTATTGAAGAGATCTATCCATAATAATATCCTGGCAGCTCTCTTTTGTTATAAATCTTGCAATGATCACATGGAAAATGCAGTCACGTGTATGCATGTAACCTCAGACTCCTTACATTTACATTAGCACATTGTTCTTCTGTGTGCAGTTCAAAGGAAGGTTGAAGGATGTGCTGATATTTACAACAGGGACATTAGGCAAAATCCTGGTGGCAGAATGATCAGTGACACTAGCTTTGCCATCTTTGCCTATAAGAGATAAACTTAACCATGGTTCTCAGCAACCAGGTTTTTCTAGCTTCCATGGATATTTTTGGACCCTTCCTCTTACTGCCTCACCTGTGTAGAAATTGTTTCTCTGTGGTGAATTCCAAAATGGCTGCAATAAGCGCCTGTCTTCTGAAGCTGTGTGGTGGGGAATCATCCTTCTGCAAGATGAGCGGCCAAGCTCTGGGTGGCTTGGCTCATGATCTGCCCATGCAAGGTCCCAGTTCCAATTCCTGGCATCTCTGGTTGAAAACAGATCAGGTGTGAGGCCGTTGCCTGAAACCCTACAACAGGGAGAGGAGTCCCTTTTCCTGCTGAGGGCTGTCAGGAAAACCTGTTAGGGGCCACATGCTGGTGATGGGTGAGGCTCAAATCTGTGGAGGGCAAGGCTAGGAAAAGCTAGCCTCTCTCTATGTATATGCATATGCATATTTATATGCATATGCATATTTATATGCATATGTAGGCGCGCCCACATATATGTGTGTGTGCTGCCCGTTTCTCTCTCTTTGCCACACTTTCCCCCTCTTTCATTCTTATGCTTTTCCCTATGGGGCCCTTAAGGATGATGGTTGCTCAACCCTGTTTTGGAGATCCACTGCCTGGCAATACTGGCCTGGATGGATAAATGTATACATCAGCTATAGAGCAGCTCTTATGTTCCACTGCTAAGAGCTCCTGCCACCTGCACTAATTTTCACAGCCAGGTGGGCTCTTCATTGAGGTACAAGCTAAGTGATTGGCCTCTTAGGTCCTAACACAGTGGTGCTTGTATGTGGGAGACTCATGCATGTCGTCTTTTTTGTCTTCTCCGAGCTTCATAGGGGCCATTCCCAATATCTGGCTAGGAGAAAATCCGACCCAGCCACATGGCTTAGGGCAACCATGTTGAGGGGGTTTGTAACATCCTTCCAGCAAGAATGCCAGTTCCATGGCAAAGACCTATACAATCAATCCTGCTTACGTTGTTGGAATGTCCACATGGATAAGCAATTCCCACATGGGTGGGGGAGAATATTTAAAATACACCCATATGGTCTTGTGAAAGCAACTCGCATAGTGTTCATGTTTAAATCAGGAAGCGCAAAAAAACGGGCTTCATGCTCCCCCCACCCTCAGTTGCACTTCCAAGTGCAGCTCCAAGACAGTGGTGGCTCCAGCCCTTTCACCCTGGCAATTTTCCCCACCTTTCCCACTCCTTAGTGACTAGCAGAAATAGCTTTAAACTAAAGTAGGCTGGTATTTTTGGCTCCCTTTGTTTTGGGTGCAGCCCACTCTGGCAGCTTTTCAGAAACAGAATCTAGTCCTAGCGTTGAAAGAGGCTCTGTATTCTTGATGTAAGCAGTGAGAGCATGACTTGGTGCAAAGGCAAGGCCCTGCAAAAGGAGAGCCATAAGAAATAGAGCTGCTCTAGGAAAGCTTTAATGGGAATCCTAATGAAGCATATCTTTTAATGAAACACCTTGCAATGGTTTGCTGTCTTCCATTTGCTCTGGCTTACACTTCGTAGCTTCCTCGATATTAAGTCTTTCCTGAGTAGAACACAAACTTTTGGAGGCATGTGCTGTTACTGAAACGTCGCTGCCAAGTGTGTTCCATAACACAAGTGAAACCAAGTCTGAGGCAAGTGATAGACGAGTTTCTGACACTCTGGTGTTTTCTGAGATCAAGTGCAATGAGCCAATAAGACTCATTGGTGGTTTTACATGATGGGCATGCAGATAGTTCAGACCTGACAACAGCTCAAGTTGGCTTGAATTCTTTGTAATGCCCATTTAAGGCTGGAATGGACAAATGGATGGAGGCTGCTGCAAACTGTGGCTGTGGGCCAATCACAGGATTTGATTGTGGCTGTGGACCAATCAAAGGACTTGATTCAGACCCCACTTCAGCTATTCCAGAGGCATTCCAGTTCAGCACAGCTGCTTGCACAGTGCATGGCCCATCATCCACTCTTCCTACTTCCTCCTCCTTTTCCCTCTCACCTCCCTTCTGTCCTTCTGGGCTTCCCCCACTTCCATGAAATTAGGCTGTAGGCTGCAAATGACCCTTGGGCTGCAAGGTGTGCCCCCAGACCCAAGCCATACAGTGTGATTTCAGAGGCTTGCTAGACCCAGGTCCTGCCTCTGCTTCAATAATCACCAAACGGAGTTAGCATCATAGTTCACACATTTCTGCCTATTGAATGCATCCTAATTAATCCATGCAGCACTCCAGCCAGGGAGGTTAACTGACCAGGCTTCAAGAAGCTAAATGATGGATCCTTCTCTTGATAAAGAGGGCATGTTCTTGATTTTCCCTTCTCTGTTCCTAAGGCTGCAGAAGTTTCCAGGGCAGCCGTAAGTGCAGGATTCCCATGACACTCCTCTGGAGAAGTTTGCTCTCTAGTGATATAGTCTACCAACCTGAAATTCTGCCTTTTTGCTTCTATAACTGAAGTTTAGATCTCAGGTAGTTTGCACCTCTTTGTGCTTTCTAGACCATTCTTTTTTCCTCCCTCTTTGCAGCACCATGGGTAGCTTTAAAAAAATCTCTTAGCACTTGCCCAAGGCCCTTTTTCCCCCTGCCCTGCATATCAGATCTTTATTTGAGGTTGTTCTCAAATGTGCTTCTACATCACCTGGATTCTAGAAAGGAAAACTATTTGCAGACCAAACAATATTTCTCAAGAGGTCTGCTGGTTTTATGGCCTCTATCCACAGAGTGAAGGCAAGCAGGATCACTTTTTGCCTCAGTCAAGCTTCTGCAAACATTATCAAGAGAAATGGTACATATTCAGAAGTGCTTGTGCAGAACATATGAATCTATGTCACTTCCTTTTGGTTTATGCTCAGGCATTCCTGTGACTCTCCACATAGGATATACTAAGAGAGTTTGACCCAGTTAGTATGTCACAGCAACTTGAGGTTAAAAAAAATCTTGGGTTGTTCTGAATGAAATGGAAGAGGTGAATCTGCTGGCTCCTGCCACTTGATAGCTCCCATGGCAAACTAAACAGCTTAGGGATACCCTATCCTTGGGTTATTAATCATGACATGCGAACCAGGAATTCAAGGTTGTTGAGGAAAGACAATCCTGAGTTGACATCCATAGTTTGACTTGTGTCAAACGGCCCTGGGTCATTTAGCCCCAGTGAGAGACACTGGGGAGCAAGAACCAGCAGACCCATTTGGTTCACAATGAACTAGATTTCTTTTTTGTTTTTAAAAACCTAGGTTGTTGTGACATGGTCCACTTAGAACATCAGACCATGCTTCTGAAACCTTGCCATGGTCCGTGCTTGGTGACATGCAGTAAACCAACCACAATTGAAAACTCCCTGTTTTGACTTTCCTTCTGTTTGATACTCAGTGTCATGTGTTCTCCCGCATCTCTATGGGGCAGCAGGTACTTGGGGCAGCGCAATTCCAGTCTTCTTGCTATAGGCTCCCTTTGAACCGGCAACCCACAGTTAGCATAAGCTTCAGTCTGAGATTCTGGTTTTCAACCACCGACTAACCATGATTTTTGGATAGGCTTGAATTCAGGCTGTAAAAGCAAACCATGGTTTAGCTCCATCTCCCCTAACCTTGTTTCTTCCAGAAGTTTAAGAAAGACTGTTGTAGCTAAAGAAACCCTGGTGCCATGCTTTGTCTGAACCCAGCCTGTGCCTTCCCCAAGAGCATTCAGTGAATTGCAAACATCCAGACTTACAGCTGTCCCACATTGCCCCATCCTTCCAGGATGGTACTCCTTTGTCAAATGATTCACTGCCAATTCTGCCAACAAGGTGTTGGCCAGAATTTGCAGAGTCTTAAACTTGCTTAATAGCTCTGCTTGCAACACAGCACACATGTTAACAGTAGAAATTGCTCTAGAGTCTAATCATAAATGCTTCTAATAACCTTTGGCCTTGCTTTGCATGTGGTCTGATGCTATGATGTAATGCAGCATTCACCCTCAAAGCAGCCTGAATTTCCTATGTAAAAACTTTGTTCAGGCATGAACTTTGCTCCTCCAGATTTTCTGATCGGAATATCCCAATGTCTCCAACAAAGGAAACTTGCATGCTGCTTAAATGCTATTTTACTTTCTTGTAATTTTTCTTCCCAGGTAAAAGCTACAGGGCAGGAACTCTTTGACCAAGTTTGCAATGCACTGAAACTTAAAGACCCACACTTCTTTGGCATCAGTGTGGTAAAAAGTAAGTCTGGCAAGAAATTATTTGGCTGATGTCCATAGTACTGAATGTGTGCCTCTGCTTGAGAATGCACTTCAGTGTCATTCAATGAATGTCATTAAAAGACGTGTCAAAGTCCTTTGTCGCTGGCCTGAGAACATTCTTTAAGGAGGGGTATGTGCATTTTTTTAAAAAAAATTCTGCTTTTTCTACTGCTATTCTGTCTGCCAACTTGTTTTCTTTTTGTACCACTAGGTAGAATTTAAGTATTAGTTGTGCAGTAAGAAAGAATTGGCAAGGACATCAGAAAGTCACTCAAATGTTAGTGAAAACAACCTTTCTTACAAGTGAAAGGAAATGAATTCATCTAGCCTCAGACTTTATGATGTCCTTGTCAATATTCCTTCCTAGTGCACACACCCCTCTTTACAGAATGTTCACAGCCAGCGATCAAAGGACTCTGACCCATCTTTTAATGAAGTTCACAGTGTAATCTTATGTTGGTACAATTCTTAAGAAGGCTTAGGAACTATACCAATAGATAGACCATTCTTTTCTGCTAATTCACATCACCTGGGTACCCCAGGAGCACAAGTAGGTGAAATGACCAACGAATGGCTCATTGTAGGGTATGGTGTACCTATAGGAGAAAACAGGCAGCTGGGGTTGCTTGAAGGTCAGACCTGCCTGAGTCTAAGAGAAATGCAGTGGTCCTTCCAAAATGCAAAGTTTCCATAGCATGCATTGTGCTCAGTTGCAGGTCTCCCAGAATTTGCACGATGAGGGATTTGCAAATTTATCGGTGTGGTATTCTGTCTCAATAGTCCTTACTTTCAGACACAAAGAATTTAAGCTAGATGCCCTTGCATGGGGCTATTTCACACTTTACAAAAGTTTGTTCATTAGATTTCTGTCCCAAACCTTTCCTCCAAGGAGCCCACAGCAGAGTTCAGGGTTCTCCTTTTGATTTTTATCCTCCGAACAATCTTATGAGGTGGGTTAGGCTGAGGGTCCGTCGGGAACCTTATGGTCAGCTGAGTAGTATACACCATTCTCTCCCATATTCATTCATTTTTACACAATATTGAATTCCTAAAATGGGAAGCACCAGTACTGAGGTCTGCCTGGAAATGGCAGTTGGGTGCTGTCCAGTTCTGCTAACCGGAGCAGGAAAATGCTCTGCATATTCTCAAGAGCATTCTTTTCCATTGTTATTTCCAGAGCACTGAGGATTAACATTATCCTTCAGGTGTTATGATCTCTATCCTGGAAGTTTCATGGGGCTGCCTCCTCTACCCCAGGCTTCTCTTTTTGGGAGGGAAGGTCAGATTAATCTTTAAAACAAGCTTTGGACCTCTCCTCCCAATGCAGGAAGGTCATGGCTGAAGGGGGCGGGGTGGCCCACAGGGCTCCATGACCACCTCCATCAGACAGAGTGCTTGAATAGGGCTATTGAGTGTGGGTGTTCTGGGGGGGAGTGGGGGGGACAGGTTAGCTTGGCACCAACTAAGCCCGTAGGACACAGGAAAGTTAAGAAATGTCACATGCTGCCCTTACATTGCTGTGTTTCAAAAAAGACACGTAAATCTGCAGATTTGGGTACATATCCAAATCCCGTTTCCCCCTCCCCCACCATCTCTCTTTTTTAATCAGAGTGAATTTGTGCTCAGATTTCATTGTCACACAAATCAAAAGTGAACATCCGGGGGGGGGGGCAACTTAAAACACACTATCCATACACTTCACCTTTAATCCACTTAAAATAAAAACCACCCACTGCCACTCTGTTTTTATGTGAGAAACGCTTGGAGGGCAGCTGGGGGTGGGGGTGCTTTTTGTTTTTGCAGCTTGAGGATTACACTCCAGGTTGGCATTTGGACAATATTAACCTCATTAGAGTCGGAATGGAATGCTGCATTCCTGGACTGAAGGGAGGACGGGCCGCAACTCCAGGGTGCGTCTTAGAAAGGGGAGGTAAAAAGGGAGGGAGAAAGCAGGGAGAAGGCTCACTGTTGGGACAATTGTAAGGCAGCTTAATGAGTTACCCACCCACCCCTGTACACAAATAATGCTCCATTTCTGTGTTGAGTCTTCCCTTTCCCAGAAATGCACCCAAACCGTACAGTCATTGTGTCCTTTTCCATGGTACAAATAGCCTGAATTTTCCCAAACATCACTACAGCTCATGCATAAAGCTTTAATGCAGCCTCCCCTGACCTGGTGTCATTCAGAGGGGTTGGTTTACAGCTTCTGCCTTTCCCACTGGGAATGATGAGATTTGCAGTCCATCACATTTGTCAGGGACACCAGACTGGGGAATATTGGTTTCATAGGCGTGCTAGGGGACTCCTGCTAGCTCTAACCAAGAGAAGCTAAATTCCTAGGGCAGAGCAGTTCTCATGCACTCTTCTGGTGTGGACTCCCAGTGCTGGCTTTACTTGGAAGTAAGCTCCCCTTGGCTAGAACTGGAGCTACAGAGAAGCAAGTACTCTAGAGCCAAATTGTACATTGCTGTAAAATCCATCTTTGCGTTTGACTGCATTTTTTTCAAAATGCAAATTGTATTAGCTAGGAGGGAGGGGTGATTATCAGGATTGCTACAGGCTTGATGGGGAGAAATTAACCCTTCCTTCCCTGGTTTTCATTTTGATTTTGAGGAAAATCCCTGCTAAGAATTTGATGTTTGTCTGCTGTGAGCACAAGAATCAGCTCTCCCAGCTGATACAATCTGCATTTTTAAAAATCCAGATATTATTTAAGAAACATCTAATCTGACTCTTAGCCTAGGTCATGTATGGGTGCAGCCAAAAATTGCCAGTCGGACACGCACAGCTCTCACGTATGTCCCTGAAGATATTTAACAATAGCTTATGAATGTGAACAAGGAACTTACAGAGAGAAACATGTCATTGCCTATCTCTCTGTGTGTGTGTCAATCTGTCTTTCACCAGCCTCTCTGTTCCATCCTGTTCCAAACACCCAGGTATTTTGGAGATGGTTCCCTCTGTGGTCATTGGCTGTTTGTGGAAAGACAGATCCATTTCAATAGAGTTCCCTCCCATAAAAACAACAGCAGCAGCAGTGAACATATTTCCAAAAATCTTAGTTTTACCCATGTCTGCTGATACCTCACCCTGAGTACTGCCATTTTACCTACATAAGTGGAAGGACTCAGAGAACTAAACTGGAAACGAAGGAGACAATGTGGACACTTCCTTTTAAGAATAGTTCCATGTATTGTCTTGCCCTTGATAGCAGGCCATGGTATCTAAGAGCATAGCCCTGTGTTGATCCAAGCTGTATTTTCTTATGATGGGACTGAGATGGCAGGGTAGTTTTGAGCAGCCTTTCTCTTGCTGGTGCCTTCCTGATGTTTTGTTCTACAAGTCTCAGCGTTCTGGGATGCAATGGGTTGAAGGAGGCTGGCTTAGAGCAGTAATTCCCAAACTCTGTTACTGTGCCGCACAAGGAGCGGAAGCGCACTCTGAAAAATTAAGGCAGCAAATCTCTACTCCTTGTCCTATTGAATGCCATGGGAATTAATCTTGAGTAAGCTTGCATAGGATTGTCACATTGTATATACCCACTGCTCTGTACTCCTGGGAGTAGGTAAGGCTTTGTGTAGCTTCAGTCTCCTCTTCCCTCTTACAAATACAGCATTGAAAGATTGCTGAGAAATAGGTGCTCCCATTTCTGGTCAGGTTATATATCTCCAGCATTTGAGTAGCAAGGGGACTGTTTTATAACCTAGCACAGTGTTTAGGTGCAGATTATTTATTGATGTATTTAATGCCATGTTGCCATAAAGTCACAAACTTTCAAGAAATTGTGGGGAAAGATCACAGCCTGTCCCTGAAGTTGTCCATTTTCTACCCATTCCTCTCTGCCTTTCAGACAATGAATATGTATTTATTGACCTGGAGCAGAAACTGTGCAAGTACTTCTTAAAAGAGTGGAAGAAAGACGCCAACAAAGTAAATGCCTATCCAATGTACATTTTTGACGCTAAATTCTTGACAGTGTTCCCATCCTGGTGCCCTTGACATGTGATAGAGGTTGGGGAAAGCTATTGTACATGTTCACACAGAAGTAAGCCCCATGCTTACTCCCAAGTAAGTGAGCATTGCATTAGAGCTCGAGAAGGAGGTGTATGATATAATCAGAAACTGAACCAAGGGTTCTTAGCTTGCTCTTATCCCAATAGTCACTGCCTTGCATCCTCTCATATTTGCAAAATGTTGCACTATAGATATGTTTAAGTTGTAGCCCAAAACATCTGGAGAGCCCCAAATTTCCCAGACTTCAGTAAGGCTTGTGGCACAGCGGTCCCACTACAGAGAAAAGACATAGTACCCTGAATGGCTGCACACATTTAAACCCTTGTATCGTAAAACAGAAATACAAAATTAAGAGATTCTAGGCCATCTTTCTGCTATAAGGCACTCAAGATTCAACTAATTAAGATGTAATTCTCAAAAGAAAAACAAAGTCCACAGACCCCTTGGAAATTGCTGGGAGGCCTTGCCAGATCACTTAATAAGCTTCTTTTGTTCTACAAATCAAAAGATGTCCATAGCACATATTTTAATGACTTTCTTTCCTCAGTGATCATCATCATCATCAAAGCCAGTGCCACATTATGAAAATTACAGGCCCTAGAAAACCACAGACCTTGTTAGCTTGTTTAGTAATATGGGCCTTTCTCATAATGGCCTTAATCTTATCATTAAAAATAAATAAATCTAATGCACCACCAAGTATAGACCTGACCATTTCATAGACTAGCTATGGAAGAGTTGAATGGAGCTCATAGATCTCTGGTGGTCCATGGACAACAGAGGCAGAGCCTCTGGTGTCGGAGCAAGAATCATGCAAGGCTAGGATGCTGCGCTGGCTGGTCACGGAACCAGTCCACCTGAAGCGAAACAACTCATTGTGGTGAAGCTTCAAAATTGATTGAAGAATAGATATGTTAAATGGATGAGCTGGAAGGGGAAGATGATTCAGAATGCTAAGAGAGACATGAAACTCTGCCTTGATTATAGACATTATCTAACTTCCCTTTCTGCCATCTTTCTTTAAAAGGGAACAGAGAAATTCAGCCCTCCTTTGGTTGCTTTCTTCAGAGTACAGTACTATGTAGAAAACGGACGGGTCATAAGGTACAGTTGTCCTATTATTTGAAAGGATTGTATTACACAAGTGCTTCTCTTTTCATTTTCATTGAGTTTGATGCTACCCTATATCTCAGCCTGCTTCAACCTGGTGCTCCATAGATGTGTTGGACTACAACCCCCATCAACCTTAGCCAATTGGCTATGCTGAATAGGAGTAATGGGAGTTGTGATCTAATGCATCTGGAGAGCACCTGATTGGAGGAGGCTGTTTTAGGGTTGCTAGACTGTATTCACACCTGTTTTCAGTTGTCCACAATACAAGTTAGAAACAGCTTGTCATGTTTGCCAGGCTTCCACTGATGTTTCCCACAGCAAGCATGCCAAGCGTGGAGGAGAGATGCACTCAAGCCCCTTATACACCTTGGTAGGGCTGCCCATTTTCCCTGCTATTGCAAGAACAGCGCTGCTTCCAGGGCTCTGAACAGCCCTTGGGCAAGGCACTCTCAGCAGCCCTGCTCCCGTAGTACATCTCTCTTTTCACCGCCAGCTCTGTTTTCTCCTCTTTCTCATTATGGCTGCCACCTGCTTCCTTGACAGGCAGAGAGCCAGTGAGCACAGACGCAGTGACAGTGACTTATCCTTCTCATGGAGAGGCAGGTGAATTCCAATGGGCCCTGCTGAGATGGGGGCACTCAAGCTGCCCAGCTTCCCCTACCCTTGATTCCCTGTGCATTCCCATCCTACCTTTCCTCCAGGGAGCCCAAGAGAGGTGAATCTGTGAGGCAGGTTAGGCTGAGAGTCAGTGACTGGCCCAAAATCACTCAGTGAACATGAGGGCAGATCAGGGCCTGAAATCCAGGATGCCTGAGTCCCAGTCGAACCGCTATCTACTGTGCCACACTGGCTCTCCTGCTCTCAGGATTGCATTGTTGGTGTTTATGTCTGAACAAGGCTGCTTCCCTGCCTCTCCCAAAGCCACCTTGAGTTGAATTGTCGTCTTTTGTGCCGAGGATTGTTTTGGAGTTGGTACACCGCCTTAACTCTATTTCCTTGTTCTTTCTTTTGCTCTTTTCAAAAGCTTCTTATTTAAAACAAAACCATGTAATTATGAAGCGTTCCCAAAGTATATATCCTTAGTCATAGTCAGAAGAAGGTAGTTTGGTTTTGTGATAGTCTCTTTGTCCTCGTTATAACACACCTGTCAGCATGCCAGTCAAAGTTTATTTTCCACACAATGGACAGTACTGTCTTCCTTCACTAAAAAAAGAGGGGGAAACACCCATTTTGGTGCACTAGAGCAGGAATATGCAATCTTTTTGCCCCTAAGAGGCACATTCCATAATTCCAGGCAGTCGGTTGGAAGCCCGGTCCTGCATGCAAACACTCACAGCATTCACGCAAAGGCACACTTTTGCAAGCAGACTTGTGCAGCATCCACACATAGGCCCACCTGTGTGTGCCTACTTGGTGGGCTGTTGAGAATGCAGTTGTGGCGGGGGAAAGGGTGTGCAGGGAGGTTCTTCCTCATGAATGTCCTTGAATTGCTGTCCCCATAATCTGCCAGACAGGTGGGTTGTTGGGAGCCTGGTTTGCTGGGGAAGAGGGCACATGAAGAAGGCCTCCCTACTGCAGTTGTGGCAGCAGCGCATGGGAAGGGGCAGCAACAGACACCCACTGAGGGCCACACAGTAGGCCTCCAAGGGCCACTTGCGGCCTGTGGGCCCCTGGGCTCTACGGGGAGGACAAAGAACCCCTTCTCTGCAATCTGGCTGTGATAGGATCTGCTGCTGTTGACCCCAGTCAATCATTTCCCATCACACTGTTGGTGCAAACACGAGGGGCCTCCTGGCCCTGCTTCTCTGACATGACCCAGCAGCCGCTCCCTTTGCAGTCCATGACTGGGGGCTTCTATGAGTCAGCCAGGCATGTGGGGCCTCTTTCAGCCTGAGGGCCATGTTCCATTCCAGAGAAGCTCTTGAGAGCCACATGCCCGTGGAGGGCAGGACTGAGGGCCAAAGGAGCAGGGCCAAAATACCAGCATGGTTTAGCAGAAAACTTGCACCGCTAGTGGTTAAGCCTTTGGAGAGGCAGTTCAACCTCTCTGAGGTGGGGTGGGGCAGAGGAGAAACCTTGCAAAATCTGGGAAACCCCAAAGGGAAGAGGGGGGCCATTGGGGAACCACAGTGCACTAGATTGGGACTCCCAAAGGGCAACATTTGGACCTTTGGGCCTGAGGTTCGGCACCCCTCCTGTAGTTTCTCCCTGTGATCGGGAACCCCTATGAACAGGAATCCAGATTCCAAGGAAGGCCAGTGTGTCTTTCATAGGCTTCCCCTGAGCAGACATGCCTCGATGCTTGGACGGCAGGGGAGTGAGGCGAGCAGATTTGACCTGACTTGCCCCCTCACCTGATGTCCATAGCAAGGAGCATGTGCTTCCCCTGAACATGTGTTTTCCATTGATTTCAATAGCACCGAAAGCCTTCAAGAGCCTTAGGTGGACATGCTGTACAATGGCTTTCCCCAGACCTTTCCAAATTGGGACAAAACTGCTACTAAAAGCCGTTGTTCTGTGTTTAAAATGCAATGTTGCAGCTCAAGAAATAGGAAACCAGTTGAAAACATTGATTGGGTTAGAAGACACTGGCCAGAAAGTTAATTAGGATTCACCAGCCTCATTCTTTTAGGATCAAACTGCCAGTTATGTGGCGTGTGTAGCATGTGGCCCTGTGTAGGGATTTTATTTGGGTGGGGTAAGTGCCCCCACCCAAATCTGGATCATGCCTTTAGCACCTGGGGAGGGGAGGGCGTATTCTCACAATAAAAATGAAACAATCCTGCCCGTTCTCACAATAAAAAAATACCATTGTTATGTGCCAAAAAGCAATAATAAAAGGTTCCCATTGACACCAATCACGTGGAGTTTGTTTTAGTCTTGGTATTTGATGCAGTGGGGGTGGGGATATAACCGAGAAAGGAAAGATGAACTCCCCATGCTCCTCTTCCTGTGCTTGCTTCAAGCTACATGCTACGTACATAACAGTCGACCCTTAGCAAAACTCCTAGTCAGACTGGTTTCTCTAAAAAATAAACCAAGGAATAATAGTGCCCTCACTTCTGGCTCACCCTGTCAGAAGAGGGGTCTAGAACATTCTGTGAGCAATTGACACAATGATTCACAGCGATAATATAGCCACTGTGGTTTTTCCTCAGAATTCTTCCACAGTAAACCTTGGTTTACAGGACACTTTCCCTCCCTTGGCTGGCATTAATTTTGGTTTTGACTAATGGTTTCTCCTCTGCAGCGACAAGGTTGCACGGCACTATTACTACTGCCACCTCAGGGAACAAGTGTTGAAGTCTTGGTGCCCTGACAAAGAAGAAGTCTACTTCCTCCTGGCTGCGTATGGGCTTCAGATTGACTTGGGGGACTACCAGGAAAACTTCCACAGAGGGAACTACTTTGAACCCCAGACATATTTCCCTCAGTGGGTAAGTCTTTCATAATCAGAATGACATGAACCCATTACAAAGGCTCTCCCACTGACCCCAGTGGCTGGAGGCTCTTCAGCCTGATTGCATTGTGGTGCGCGGGGGAGACAGAGTGATGAGCTCCCCCATGGGACTCTGGGCCAGCCTTCCGGAATCTTCTGATTGTCCTGAATCATCTGGCTCTCCAGGTGATTTTTTTTCTACAAATGAGCATAACTGCATCAAGGATAATGGGAGTTCCACCTGTGGACACCTGGATGCCACTGCATTAAGGAAGGGTGCTCTATCCTGCACCACCCTACTTTGAGAACCAAGGAGGGAGGGAGGTTTCAAAGAGGATGAGCAAGTCACAACCCTTCAGGTTCTCTTTCCCCATGTCTCTTCAGGTTCTCTTTCTGGCATGCCACCTCCCTGCCAGAAGACCCTTGCCTCATGCTCAGAATTGCCATTCTGAGATGAATATAGCATGTTTCAGGTGGGGCAAGGGTGGTGTGGAGAGGGCATGGAACTTTTCTTATTACCACAAAAATGTTAAGCTTGCAAATGCAAGAAAGTCCAAGAGGGACTGTAGCTCTTCCTTGGCAAGCAGATTTGAAGATGCTCTACTGCCCAAGATGGGACCCAGTAGCTAATGGAATGTGTCTTGCCCTGCCTTCAGGGCACTGCAGCAAGATAATATATGATATACTTCTGGTTTGGTTCCTTGGCTCAGGATTGTTGCAGCACAGGGTGAAGAATGGGTATAATGGTGACCGAAAGGAGTGGAGATACAAAAGCAGACAGGCATGCAGGCAAATTGGGTTTGGAGTCTGGTTCCTAGACCCACGGCATTCGTCTGATGAGTTAAGAAAGATCAGGCCCCACGGCATAAAAGATAATTAAAATTGTGTGAAGTCTAAGAAACACCAAGGGAAACTTTACTGTGGCTACCTGAGGGAGCCTCCCTGTAATTAAGAGAACAGAAGGTGTTCAGGTGAGTGCGTTCCCTCCAGGGCTTTCTGTTCCCTTGTAAAGTCTAAATTTTAAATGCTCTTTAAGTGTTGAGTGATGATCAGGAGTGGGAGAAGTCAGGCATGCAGCCTAACCTGTAGCGAGACCTTACTTTCTACAATCTTTCAGTGAGACAGTGCCAACCTGGCCCCTCCAAATGTGTTGAAGGACGACAACCATCATTGCCCATCCTGTTGGCAGGGATGATGGGAGGTGTAGTCCAGCACACCTAGGCACTAGCTTGAGGAAAGCTGGCCTGGAAAGAGTGTCATCAACTTGGGTTAGCATAATCAATTTCTTGTCTAAAAAGAGCTTCCTGGTACCAAGAAGTCTCCAGGTGATGGGATCAGTTTTGCTATGTCCCTGTGCAGGCTCGCTTTTCCAAGCCGCTTCAGCACTGCCACCTGCTGGCCCACCCTTTCACTCTGCAACAGGATCTGCCTTTTTCAAGCAACAGAAGAGGACACAAAACTTGCAGTATTCCCCCCCCCCCCCGCCTTTATTTTTTGGCTGAGTGCTTTTTAAAATTTGCTTAGGTCACTTGGATGCCTTGCATACCTGCAGGAAGTGAAGATTCTCACTTCACTGAAGTACTGTGAAAGAATTAACTTTCCCACGCTCACAGCTACTATTAAAGACATGGAAGCTGTTAATCTTACTCTTGTATATTGCAATATTGATCTATAGAATCTGATACACTGTAAGGGTTCCCCACCACCACCGTACAGCTTTCTATAGTGATTTGGTACTGCATTGATGAGAAAATGAGAGCTGGAGAATATTTTTGGAACAGTGTTTCCATTTATCATTAGCAGTTATGGAGAAAGAGTTTCTAAAATTTAACTTCTCTTGTGCTGTGGTAGGATGGGAGAATTTGCAACTGCTGAAAATCCCCATCCCAGTTTAAATTTTAGCCATAAATAGAAGTAATAAAAGCAATCGACACAAATGCTCTTTGGATACTTTTTTTTGTTCTGATTTGGTTTTGCCTTATAATTAAAAGGGAGCACAATGAGAAAATTCCTAGTTCTCACTCAGTAAAATGTAACAGTAAAACATAAATAAAGATTTTTAGGAATCTTTATTTATTTAAAATGTTTCTATACTGCCCTTTATCATATGCAGGGTTCAAGGAAATGTGCAGTTCAGAAAGTTTTTAGAGAACAATAATTCAGCATTTTAAACATTAAACCTTTAAACGAAACTAAAAGCACCAGCAGATTTTAGGGAAATAAAACTGCTTCTACTCTGGGTGCCCAGTGATTCTCTTAAGGGCAGGGGTGCTGAATGTTTTTGACTCCGAGGCCCACAAACTGGACAGTGTCAGGGGCTGCACATATCTGCACAAACACTAATGCTTGGAGTTTCTCTTGCTAACTGGAGCTAGCAAGGGAACCCCTAATGTTTGATCACTCCTCAGAGATGGGGAAGGAATTTCTTTCAAGGGAATCCCTGGAGTTCCTTCTGAAAATGCTATAATGGGAAAGCCCAGGCTTTCCCATTTTCTTCTGTACCAGCATCAGATGCTGGGAAGTCTGCTGGACCACTAGAAACAGTTCAGTGGGCCTCACTTCTTGCATCCCTGCTTAAAGGCCTTCTGTAAGCCCTGTGAATTGTACACACCTAGCAAACCTGTGATACAAGGGGCGTCTGAAGAAAGGCTCAAAAGAAGATCCTGCCCTTCCAAGCAGGGAAGAATTCCCTGAGGGGGAGGTCAGGCTTGCCCAAGCCTCAGGCAGCATGCTTTGCACGCCAGCTGTTGTGTCTGATGGCTCTGTTGAAGGGAAGCCAAGGAAAGTGCTGATGTTGCATCTTTCTCTTGTGGCAGATAATTGCAAAGCGAGGCAGTGATTATATCCTGAAGCATGCCCCGGAGATGCATCAGGAGCAGCAAGGCCTCTCCACTCGAGAAGCTATTCTGAAGTATGTCAAGGAGTCGTGTTTGCTGGAAGATGTGCCTGTCCACTTCTACAGACTGCAAAAGGTTGGATGAGGCTCTTTCTTCTTTTGAGTATTGAAACAGGGTGTTTAAAATTTGAGTCCTTTTCTTTAAAAAAATTAAACCAGAGACTAAACTATATAGACTATGGTCTAGGCATACAGTTTCAACAACAGGCTTGGCTAGAGTACACTTCACTCATAGCAAGCTAGAAGTATTGTGAATCACTTGTGACAAATTGGCTGTATGTACTCAGGGGCTTCCATTGCCCTCATGAGGATCCATGAGCATGCAAGCTTTTCCCACATCCATGCCAGAGAGCAGGAGCACCCTGTTTGTCTCAGTCTTCTGGAAGACTTTTTCCACTCCTGCATTTTCTTCCACTTTAAGCTCCCTGCTGTAAGTACAAGCCAAAAGAGAGGCATGTGACAAGATCCGACAGGCCTGGTGCCCAGAACTGAAATAAGTTGCTTTAATTCCTGAATTCCTGTCTAACTTGAAATATGGGGTGGGGGTGTTTGTGCTAGTTTTTCATATGCTGGTAGATAGGTTTATAAGCCATGTTTGGATACAATGATAATGACCAGCATGGATTAATTAGCCCACAAATTGAGGGGGCTTGCAACCAAACCGCATGCAAGTTGCCCTCTGTGTGCTTTCACGACCTTAAAATGCCTCTTTTGGGGGTTGTTTCCATGCTGTCCAAACAGGGGCAATTGGGGCTGTTCGGGGCTCAACTTCAAGTTAACCCAAGTACAAACCATAAGTTAACTTGCGTTTCTTTAATCCAGCAACAACCTCAAGTGACCCTGCTCAGACATCCCAGAGGGTGCCTCAGGCATGGCATGCTGCCCACAATTTGTGGGCTAATTAATCCAGAATTTGCCATGGATACCACCATGGTAACATAGTGTCTATGTTCCATTATCACTTTTGATTTTCATGATTATGATTGTTGATGTTTACAGAAGCTGGATCCTTGTAGCCAACATTGAGCTACCCTATTTTTCACTCTATAAGATGCACCTGACCATAAGACGCACCTAGTTTTTAGAGGAGGGATCCATGGAAAGCTTCCTGATAATCATAGGCACATTCCCCATCACTTCCCCATGGGCTTCATTAAAAGACAGGTTGCCATTTGAAAACACACACCGACCTGTGATTAACAGCTCTCACCTGTGCTGGAGGAGGGGGGTGGAGCAGGGCGCGCCGAGTGCGTGCCGGCCAGGTGCTGCCACGTGGGGCTGGCAGCGTGCCGGTGGTGGTCTTCTGGGCGGCGCAGCGGCAGGTCTTCCCAGGCGGTGGGGGTGAGCAGTCCGTCTCTCTGTGCGGCCGGCGGATTAAAGCCCGCGGCTCCTCCTCCTCCACACCGCTCACCCTGAGTGGCACAGCTCTCACCTGTGCTGGAGGAGGGGGGCGGAGCAGGGCATGCCGAGCGCGTGCCGGCCAGGTGGTGCCACGTGGTGCAGCCGGGCCAGCAGCGTCCTGGGCGTTGGGCGCACACACATTTGCTCTATAAGATACACAGACATTTCCCCTTACTTTTGAGGGGGGAAAAGTGCGTCTTATAGAGTGAAAAATACGGTAATCTTAACATAAATGCCAGTAGTTTCTAACCAAAAGAAGCAAAAACCACTCTAATTATTATGTGATCACAATAAGCTCTTTACAATTAGTATGCTTTTGCAGATGGTCTAGTTGGGTAAAAAAGGAAATCAGGAACTGTTGTTTATTGTAACAAACAACCTCCCAGCCCTGTGATTCCCTTAAGTCAGCCTTCCCCAACCAGGTGTCCTCCAGATGTTTTGGTCTTAACTCACAGCCAGTGTGGCCAATGGGCAAGAATGTTGGGAGCTGTAGTCCAAACCCGCAGTTGTGAATGGGCTTCTCCATGGCTCCAGCCAGGAATATGCAGCCAAGGACCAGCATTTACCCCCTTGAGCTTGGCCAGGCCTCATGAGCCCAGACATGGCTTCCTAGAGCTGCCTGGCACGGCAACAGAAGTACAGGGTTGGGCAATGAGGGGAGAGCAGCAAGGGGAGAGTTCTTGGTGGCAGCAGCACAAAGGAGAACACATGGCACTGGGTGAGTTGCTGTTTCTTCTGGTTGCATGAGAGCTTGCAGGGCCTCGAGCTGATAACATCCTCACTGACCATCAAAGAAGTATGCAGGGAGAGTTGTGTTTTTATCCTGCATTTCTGTGTCTTCCCAGGATAAGAAGGAGGACCGCCCTACAGTCATCCTTGGCCTGACACTCAAAGGGGTGCACATCTATCAGGTGAGATATGGAAAGACGGTAACAGCGGAATTATGTACTTATCCCTCTCTGTGATCTAGGTTCAGTAGCTTCTAGGTAAGTAGGTATAAGAGTGTAGCTTTAACTCTCCTATATGCACACAAACGTGCACTGCTAGACAAAGTCCTGAGGAGTGGGGTGCACTGTGGTGTGCTAAAGGGACTGAAGCAGCCTCATCTGGGCAGGTAACTGGTGTGATGGCCTGGCTGGACTCTTGCTGTGATGCAGCACGTTCTCCTGGATCTGGCTCAATGCCTTTGTCTTCTCTCTTTTCGTAAGTGTTCTGTCTCGTTGCAGGAAGTGAACCACGTGCGCCAGCTGCTCTACGATTTCCCTTGGTCTCATATCGGGAAGCTTGCCTTTCTTGTGAGTTTTCCAGAACTTGGCGATGGTCTTTGTTTTACTTGCAGTGTGTATTGCACAGTCGTGAAAGGCTGGGAGCGATAAATGCATGGATTTTGATTTTATATTAACAGATATAGTTAATAAAATGTCAGTGGTCCTGCACATGCTTATCTAGAGAAAGCGCCATTGCAGTCAGTGGGGCTTACTTCTGTGTAAGTAAACCTTTACTTCATAGAATTATGTTGTTAGGGGACTTCCAGCAGTGCCAATCAAAACTCTAATCGAACATATGCAGCTCTTCTGCCCTTTCCTCATGTTTTGTTCTTGAAGAAAAGAGGGCAGCATAAATATTGGGAAACCAATGGAGAGTAACAAGTGCAAGATGCATGGGGCAGAATTCAAGAGGGCACTTACACTTGTGCTGATTCTTTTCTGTTCTGCTGACTCCCCACTTAGGCAAGGAAAGTTGAGTGCCTCCTAGGGCGTGACCTGATAATAAGTGGAAATGCTCTTATGTAAGCTGTGCCCACTCCGCTCCTCCATAAACGAGCTTTTCCACTCGTTTTGGGTTATTCTGCAAGTGCTTAATCACAGCTGCACAAGGTGTAGGGGCCGTTTGTGCCATATAATTGGCAGGGTGGAAGAGAATTGGCAAGGACTGATGTGCCCCATTGGGTTCTATCCAAAGCCTGGACCTCTGCGAAATTGCATGAATGAAGCAGGGCAATTTCTTGGTAGAGTCCTTGCCTGTAAGCACCTCTTTGTGTATTCAAACACATACTCGTATGTGAGTCCAAAGTGCAGAAATATTGCTGTGCTTCTAGAAGATGGTGTGAATTTTGGCAACGTCTCCAGGAAAGGGGTGCAAGGGTTAAGGATCCAGGTCATTGCTGAACTGTGGTAAATCACTTTTGTATGGTTAGGAGAGTACTTTGGATCTTAAGAATCTCAGTGGGACATACTGAAGAAGATAGCCTCTTAAGAACTCACAAAGAAATCTGTGGCTTTCCAGTTGTTGTACTACAACTCCTATCATCCCTGGGTATTGGTCATGCCAGTTAAAGCTGATGGGTATTAAGATTCCCAACCATATGTGGAAGTCCAAAAGTTCTCCACCATTTCAGAGTTAGGGTTGACGGTCTTCTTGTGGAAGCTGGCCATAGTGCTTTGGAGATGCAAGGTCTCAGGTCCACTCCTGGTACCACTACATAAAGAACCATGGGACAGAAAAAACTTCTGCCTGAAATCATAAGAGATGGATACCAGTCATGGAGAGCAGTGCCAGGCTGGATGGATAGTTGAGTTCCAACCCCTTTTGTGTCTAAGCTGTATATGCCTTTCTGATATTGTCCTCCTATATTCTTCTCTCCACATCCGTATAATCAGGGGAAGAAGTTTGTGATCCAGCCAGATGGTTTGCCTTCTGCCCGGAAGCTGGTTTACTATACCGGTTGCCCCTTCCGTTCTCGGCACCTGCTGCAGCTGCTCAGCAACAGCCATCGGCTCTTTCTGAACATCCAGCCCATCCTTAAGCAGATCCAGATGTTGGAAGATGCAGAAGGTACGTGATGGGGAGGAGTTGCATTTGAGAAGGCCAATAACTACCAGCACCCATGCAAGGCCAAGAAGTTCACCAGGTCAGGAACCTTTCTGAGCTATGTTTCAGCAGGCAGGAGGCAGGCAGGACTGATATCAAAGCTGGCTTGCTTGGGCACCCGCTGAGGCCCACTACTAAACTGCAGCTTACCTTTTGGCTAGTTTGGGTTTTTTTAGATAAGATGCTCAGCCTTCGTGCTTCCTTGTGAATTCCACCCCCCCCCCCCAGATTTTGGAATATTTGGGCAAAAAAGCAATAGTTAAGTGATGAGCAGGAGGAGCTGTGTGTGGTGCAGTGCTGTTTTTTATTTTATGAACCCGATTGCTAGGCTCCCTCACCCCACCTCCTTATGCTTTTTGCACCTTTAAAGAAGGTGGCTTTTGTATGTTGTGTCTTTGTATTTGTATATTCTTTTAAAAGTTTATTTATATTTATGTCCCAGCTTTTTTCCTGCAGAGTTAAGGTAGTTTTCAAAATCCTCCCCATTCTCTGGTGAGATACTGAGAGCTGGTGGCCTGCCATGATGTGACCTCCGTGGCTGAAGGAGGACTACAGCCCAGAACTCCCAAGTCCCGTCCCGCATTCCATTGGCTTTACCTTGTTCATTGTGTGAATATCGTATTCAATACGCTTTCCTCACTTTTCCCAATATCCTGCCCCCTTCTTCCAGAAAAGAAGCGATACCGGGAATCCTACATCAGCGATACCTTTGAAATGGATCTTGATCCATCAGACAAGCATTCCCATGATGGCGGCAGCAGCAGAGGAAGTGAGAGGAACAACCGGCTGTCTCGACAATCAACAGACAGCCACAGCAGCTCACACACGTCTGGCATTGAGGCTGACTCAAGGCATCGGATATCAGTGGAAATGTCTGTGGACGAGCCCTTTGGTTTGGTCCATCAGGCAGAGCAGTTTTGCGGCTCAAAGATCAGCTACGGCAGCTCCAGCATTGACAGTGGCAGCAAAGAGAGAGCAGATGGTGCTCGGGATGATGGTAAGGCATGGAAGGGATGGGGTGGCTGGCTGCAAGTTCTTTTGTATGGCAACAGAATTAAGAAATGAGCGGCAGGGGCTAGAAACAGTGGAGTCCTCATGTCAGTTCCTCTTCCATACTTTCCAGAAATTGAATTGGGAGTAGATGAGCCAGAAGAGGTCCCTGTGGACGGTCCTCAGCTGGTGGAAGACACTCATGAGAGGTCTGTAGATCCACAGACAGAAGACGACGTTTGCTGCCAAGGTGAGAGTATATTCCGCATAACTTTGCAGTGGCACAGCCTACTTCACAACTGGGGCACTCCATAATTCCCTAGCTAAAACCAGCCACAGGGAGCAAAGTTATACAATTTAGGCTAATCTGATGAATGTGTTCCAGTTTTTAAATGCTTAGTAAATTTCTAGGGAGTTCTATGAGTGATGCAAGAAAAATGTGGGAGGGGATATCAAGGAATTGTGGCTTTCAGGAATTCATGGGGACAGGGGAATAGGGCGACTGGGGAAACAGTTTAGTCATTCCTGTCAAGCCCTGGAATTTCCAGTTAGGTGTTTGTGAAGCTTTAATTACGTGTTCATGTTTTCAGGATCTTGTTTGTGCAGGAAACATGCTAGAAGTTGTATTTAAGTGGAATATGACCCACAATCCCTAGAACTGAATGCTTGCTTTTGGCTGTGTGTTTGTGCGTGTATGCAAGCTGATTCAAAGCATATACGAAACATCACTAGGACTGGCTGCAGGAACCTTTATGGCTTGTCATTATATACCGAAACATAATAGATAGATGAAGTAAATAATATTTGGGGGCCTGGGAGAAGTGGCAGAGAGCCATGTTAATGCCTCCCATAATCAGGAGGTGATCTGCAGGAAGACTGGCTTTTGGGCAACATTTCCCTGTTCCCATTTCCCTTCAGGAACCCGAAGTTCCCAAAGTTTTCTGTGGGTAGGAAGGGTCGGTGATCGTGATGGACGTCAGTGGGACGAAACCCCTGTGGGCGTGCCCTCCTACAGGCATATGCCTGGCTTCCCTGCAGACTCCACAGGCATTCTCTGAATGCACACTCTTTCCTTCCACTCTTGAGGAAGCTGCCTCCAGAAATCCCAGCCCACCTGGCTTACCCCACCCGTCTCAGACACTTGCTGCACATTGTCTCTCCCACCCTACTGCCCTTGCAAGCGTCACGACCCGTGTTTCTTTGCATTTGCACCTATCCATCTGATTTTATTTCCTTTTCTTCCCCACCACATCAGACATGAATAAGAACCATCTTTCAGTAGTGCAAGTCACCTTGATTAAGGTCCAAGGTCAAAGCGTGGAATCCCTTCATCAGGTAAGGACATGGCTCATGCGAGTCCTGCAGCAAACTTAGCTTTCATTACTACCCTAGCCAACCTTCCCCAGTTTAGTGCCCCCAAGGTGTTCTAGACTATAAGTCCCAACATTCCTGACAATGGTGGTACTACTGCTGCTGAAGGGAGCTGAAGCCCCAAACATCCAGCTGGCACTAGGCTGGGAAAACCGCTTCTAGCTCTACACATGATTGTGTGATCGGATTCACATGAAGGAGTGCAGGACAAGCACGGCGGTTTCCCCCACTCCTCCTCTCCTCTGTCTTGTTTGTTGCCTCCACAGCCTGGAGGGTGAACATCTATAGCAAAGGCCATGGACATTCTCCCCGTAAACTGGAAACCTTGAAGATCAGAGTTCTGTGGGCCAGACAGACATTATTGTTTTTACTCTAGAGCAGGTGCAGGGAACTCCCTTGGTCTAGGGTAGGCGAGCCTTAACTCTTCCCCACTGCTATGGGCTTCTTCCAGAGACCACCAGCAGTGGTGGTGGGAGTGCACACCTGCAGTTTCTGTTGCAAATAACATTGCAGGCACAGGGCCCCGTCTTTGGATTGCGTCCTATGCAGGGGAAGGGTTAAAGCACCCTCAAGCACACATTAAGGTTTGGATCTAGATCAGGCCTCCTCTGCTTATGCTAAAGTAAAAATAAAACCTGTGCTTGCAGGCTGCCTCTTTCAAAATAATGTCTGGTTTGGCATTCAATAGCACATGCCCCACAGCAAGAATTTGCCCTCCCCTGGGGGGGGGGGCAGCGATGGAAACACCGGGCCCCTTCTCCCTCTTATGATTCTAGTTGTATGGCTGGACACAGGGAGGTTACACTGTCAAAACAGAGCTCTACTGACGGGCAGATGAGTGAGCTTTCTATGCCATATGAGGAGACGAGGTTCTGGTTTCAAGCACAGGGACTTTGGTGGAACATCTATTTGTAAGCACAAAACATGGCATAAATCATTCAACGCTGGATACAATCCAAAACAAAGAATGCATAGAGCTGGGTTTAGCTCTTGGATTTAGTTTCTAGATAGAGGTTTTTATGTTGTGTCTTAAACAATAATATTTTGGTCTGTAAAAAACAAAAACAACCCCTCCTCCACTTTTATCTGTAATGATCCAAATGTGGTTACTGTCACAAGAAAAGCCTTTTGACTGTAGCCTTTGTCATTGTGGGACTTGCTGTTTCTCGGCAGTCTGTGGTTTGAGCACAAATTGCTCAGTTCAAAATGCTTCTAATGTTTCGTTCCTCTAACACAATATAGCAGCAATGTTTGGAAAGTAAAATCATGCCCATTGTCAACTGCTAATTAAAAGAGGTCTATTTAGAATAATTAAATTCAGCTGAAGTCCAGTGCACCTGGAGAGCATCAGACTGGGGAAGGCTGATGGTATGTGCTTAACTGTTAAGTCAAGTTTTATTGTTTTTAGCCATGGACACTTAACCAGGACTATGCCACAAGGACTTAGGTCGGACTAACTGGTCATAATATTGCACTGTGAAGCCCTGTTCAGGTGTTAAAGAGAACACAGAAGGCCCAACACATGCCCCAAGGTACAACTAGGTGTGCTGGCTGCATTCCTTTCAGACCTTGCCGTGTTGAACTGGACAGGTCTGAAAAGGAAGCATATTTGTGCCCACTTGACTCTGTGTAGAACTCTCAGCATGATCAGGGATGCTGAACCTTCTCTAGATGTAGCCATGGGATGTGGCTTTCTTGCCTTTTCCCTTTCCTCCTCCCCACACCCTCCCAACCCAAGCAAGCACTAGCATTCCTTGGCAAGTAAGTCCATTCCAAAACTCAGTTCATGGTACATGTCAGTGGTGATGCTGTATCAGTATCAAGGCATGAAGAGTTGAATGATTCAAAATTCCATAATGATTCACAGCTTTTTCCTTAAGTCAGTTTCCATAAAAGAGGGCAAGGGGAATGTTAGCAAATTGAGATGAGATGGAGATGCACTGGGAGCTTCTCTATGCAAGAGAAGTATAAAAATGAAATATAAATAAATAAAGATACATGCCAGCTTTGTTCTTCCTTTTTGTATTCCTTGCAGAATGAATGTTGTTCATTTTTAATGTATGCCATTCTTAAACCGACAGATCACACAGCCAAAGACTATGAAGTGCCCAGACCAGCACAGCCAAAGTCTGGATGACATTCGTCTTCACAAGCATCTTCATTCGCCACTGAGCGCCACACTGTCTGCCAATACCTCTCGTAGCTACACTTTTGGTTTTGCCTTAGAGGATAAGCTGGCCAGCTATGGATGTGTGTATTCAACCGCTGACTGTAAAACCAAGTCAGCCCTCTATGGAAAGAGGTCCATGAACTGCCTGTCTCTGGATCTTTTGGGAGAAGATCAACTCCCAGAAGAATTTGTGGTGTGATCATACTAAAGAGGCTCTTGCTGGAGAACATTCACAAAAAATGGAACGACAGCTGATCTGTTGGGAAACAGAAGACAGTCGATGGCTCCTAGTCATGACATCTATGCCTTACCTCTAGCATCAGAGGCAGCATGCTCTGAACACCAGTTGCTGAGAAACATGATTGGGAAGGTGCTATTATTATTGCCACAGGCGGCCAATGGGCCACTGTGCCCACAGAATGCTAGACTAGGTGGGCCTGTGGCCTGATCCAGCAGGACAGTTATGCTTGTTCTTTTGTCTATCTATACATGCACACATGTACACACCTCATTAAGTGAGATACTCTCCTTCCTTATTGCTGTCCTCTGTAGTTTATCATGTTGTTCTATCCAGCAGATCTGATCGAAGTGCAAGCTAGTAATTGAAGCATAGCATCTTAAGTGTTCCAGTGATACCAGACTAGGAATCAGAGGACTGCTCATGTACTATTGGGTGGTCCAGCTTGCTCACTAAAGAGGCTGGTGAGCAAACTGCACAAATATTGAACACACAGAATGATTTGCCTACTATATTCCAAAATGTAGCAGTATATTGGCTAGGATGTATAATTCTTATGGAGGCCGTTATCCTAAAATGGGTCTTCATCTACTGTCTACCAGTCTGAAGCTCTGTAACTCTGGTGTTATAGGCAGCAGGGCATCTGCCTTGCACCATATGCAATTTTCAGGGTGTGTGAACCTTGTCCTTGTGGTTCTACACCTGCTGGGCAAATTTACATTATCAGTAAATCATTAGGGTAGGGGGTAAACCCTTAGAGGCTCTTCTCTCCCCCGTGGTTTTTTGTTTGATTTTTTTTTCTCAACAGTTTCTTGAAAACCTTTGGGGACTGCAGTGTGCACAATTCTTAGGAACAGATAGCATTTCTACAGTAATACTTGTAGGGTGCTGAATTGTGCCAAGGAACAACATGGAAGAAACAACAGCAAAAAAAAAAAAAAAAGGTACACAATCTAGAATTGACATGCAGGTCAAGATCTGTAAGTTCTTTAGGCCTTTGTTGTTGCACAAGTGATGCACAAGTTACTTCCAGATTTAGCCATACTTAAAGTAGGCTCATTGTAATCAATGGGAGTTGGTTATGATTGCCCCAAGTCCCATAGTTTCCAATGAGGCTACAGATAAGGATGGCTACATTTGGGTCCAATCCCAGATAAAGGTTAGTCTGCACTGAAACCCCTGCACTTCAGTGGGACAGATCAGCTTTACCTTCTGCATGACTTTTTTTTGGGGAAAGAAGGAAAATTCCTTCAGCTAATGTTGAAATTCATTCATTATTCTGAAATATTGTTTAGTTAATCTTTGCTTTACTTTACAAAAAGAAAGTAGTCTTGATTTTTAGCAGCAGTGCAAAGGGTTTCATTGAATTGCTTTGTGACAATTGTGTGCCACAGCATGTGGTCATTCTAAGGCCAGGTGCTGTGGAGGTGGAGAGGTGGAGAATGGCACTAGAAAAGATGCACTGGAAAAAGAAGCCACCACTGTCCTCATCTGCCAAGGAAGTCCCAGTCTCCACCCCCAATTTATTAGAATTTCTCCCATTTGAGGAAAGAATTGCCAAAAAGATGCCCAAGTTCATTACCTCCAGGTAGGACTGTGAATCTGAGAGGTCCATTTCAGCTCCATTCTGTTCCCTGCATGTTCAAATGAAGCCTTGCAGAATTCATTTATTATATTTCTGTACTGCTCTTCAAAGCTCTTTGGGTGGTTTACAAAAATTATAACTCTGAACATACAATCTGCTGACATAATAGAAAGCCATTCACACACACACACTGATCAAATGGTTTACCAATACTGCCCAAACTTCCATTTTTGTTCAGAGCCGATGTTTTTCAATTTCAACAGTTCACACTTTCAACTGAGAGACATTAAGGACCAAATGGGATGATTGAGCAACCGAGCAACCGGAGGGAGCTGCTCCCTGGAGAAAATGGAGCACGCACAGAGCTGTCAATCCAGCACTGCACTGGAAGGCAACTGTAAATCCCTTCCTCCCCAAGCCAGGGCCCTGATCCCACCAGGCATCCATCACTTTATTTTAAGCCAAACAAACATTCACTAATTGCATGATTGACATCCTATTACACAATTGCTGAATGCATGATCCGTGCATGTCTTCTTGAGTTTGGATCTCATTAAGGAGTAACAAGACGAGCTATCAAGTGATGCAGAGACCTTCCTTACCCATGTTCCACATTAGTCTTTTTCTCTCTTCCAGTACAGCAGTACATTCTGTCAAATGGTTGCACATTTGATGTAGAATCCAATAATTTAATTAAGGCAGCATACATGACCTTAATAGCATTCTTCCTTTCGGCAATAGAACATGTGTTGTCCATCCCACATTTTTTCAGCTGAAACTGGTTATCGCCACAGAAGCAAATGAAAGGGTTTAAAAAATATTTCCTCCCCACAAAATTGTAGGGCTGGAAAGACCAGTGCGATCCACAGCAGTTTTGTTGATCCTTCTGTATGCATTTAAAGAAAAGGAATGTTGGGGGGAGGGGCTGAGGTTACAGCAGCTTTTCTGGTCTTGTGTGCCTTCTTTCAGGAGAGGTGTAAAAACAGTAGCACATTCTGGGTGCTATCCACTAAGAAGTTTGCATGCACACTCTGCACAGAATAAATGGAAGTTGCTCTTCTATACAGTTGTGCAGGAGAAGCTCTCCATGGTCTCAGTCACCTTCCACCAGGCTAACTCCTACTGAAACAATTAGCCACCCCCTAGTTCAGGGGTGCAGAAAGGCAGGCCAAGAGCCCAGATCCAGCCTTCGAAGGGCACTCAGATGGCCTCTCCCTTGACTTTCCAGTAATGCACAACATGCATTATTGGAAAGGTTGAAATGTTTCTCCTAAGGCTTAAGATTCTTAATGCTGCAAGAATTTTTGTTCCTGACTGCTTCTTGTCTCTGGCCCAGCCCTCCACCTGAGTGCAGCAACAGAAAGCTTCTCTGAAACTCTGGTATGAATTAATTTTAACTCCTCTCTTTAGACAATTTTGGATTTGCAATCGTATTTATTGTGCCTATTTGGAAATGATGGCATTTAAAAAAAAAAGTGTTAACCTTTGTGTCCATAGTTTGCATAAGAAAAATCAGTGTCAACCCTCTGAGGCATTTCCATGTTGCTCATTGTTTAAGACTGTTGTATGTTCTCTCTGTATTCTGCATTTCTGTTTCTCTATATAGTCATATTTATTTATCGTAAATGAATGAAAACCTGTAGGGTTTTCTATCCTAGGTCTTGTTTCTCAAAGCAGATATGATTGAGAAGGAGGCATGCTGAAGTTTTCTGCCTTTTCTATCATGGAGGGCCATGGGTCCCAACAGTGACCTTGCCAAATTTAAGCATTTGCTTTACCTCTAACTCTCTTCTACTGAAACCTCTGAGCCTTTGGTTGGATTATGCATCATCTTAAAAAATTCTCTATTGAAACAGTAGCACAACCAGTGAATCCACTTGTCTTCACGAAAACTCTATATTACAATGGCTGGCTATTATGATAGTTCCTTTTGATTCACATGAATTTAAGAGTTCTGACAGGTATTTTTATTTTAATCTTGAGTTTCTGTTTCATGTTTAGCTATAGTGTGGAACTTTTTTTTTAAAGAAGGCCTTTTAATCTGCTGAAGATATGAAAACCAGCTGTCAATATTTGTTCAGCTGTAAGATACTTGTTGCAGTCTCCATTTTTAATGGCCAATGTTCTTCCTTTCCATGAAAGGAAATCTTTTGTATGGAAAAAAGTATGTGCACATAAACCTGTCTATCTTCTACCTACACATTTAATAAAAGATTGCTAGAAAAACAAGCTTGAATGTGTGCTACTTGAGTGTAGAGAGAACTGTAAAATAGTCTCTTGCAGCAGCAAAGGAGATGAAGTACAGACCGGGTGAAAGAAACTGTCTGCTAATCATATGCTTTCACGGGATGGACTGCTGTGCTCTCATCCCAGGTCCCCAGTACCCCTGGAAGGGCTGTTTTTCCATCACATGAACCTCTGTCAAAGGATTCTGAAATGAAAAAGATGTAGCTTCACACTGGCCGTCTGCTCTTGCTTCTTCCCATCAGTGATGGGAGCACTTGCTAATCAGGTAAAAGAGCAGAGAATACAGGAGGGCCACATGAAGCTGTGGAAACTTGGGCTTGTGGGAGATAGCAAATCTTTTTCATAGAGAAAGGTATAGGCAAGCTACCAGCTGCTGGGTAGGAAAGGACATCAATTGCTTTGAGGCCCTTCAAGGAGCTAGATGGGTTGAGAAAGATGAAGTATAAATTTAAATGTATTTCACACAATGGGGGGAGTTTCTCTGGTTGCCTATAGCCAGGTCCCAGCTAGACCTAGGGGATCATAGAAGAGTAGAGTTGGAAGGGGCCATGAAGGCCATTGGGTCCAACCCCCTGCTCAGTGCAGGACTCCAAGTTACACCATCCCACTCAGGTGGCTGTCCAGTTTCGCCTTGAATGCCTCTAGTGTGGGAGAGCCCACCACCTCTAGGCAGCTGGTTCCGCTGTTGCATTGCTCTGAGAGTGACGAAGCTTTTCCTGATGTCCAGCTTGAATCTGGGTTGTGGAAACTTGAATTGCTGTGGAAAATTGAATTGCTTATTCTGTGTCCTGCACTCTGGTATCAGCAAGAAGACATCTTGACCTCCCTCTTTGTGACATCCTTTGAGGTACTTATAGGGTGATACCATGTTCCCCCTTAGTCTTCTCTTCTGAAGGCCAAACATGCCCAGTTCTCTCAGTCTCTCTGCATATGGCAGTGCTTCCAAACCCTGGATCATTTCTGCTGCCCTCCCCTGAACCCTTTCTAATTTTTCTGCATCTTTCTGAAATCTTAGTGCCCAGAACTGGACACAGTATTCCAGATGAGGTCTGACTAGTAAAGAGTATAAGGGAACTACTACTTTATTTCCTTGTGAATTCAAAAGTAAATGCAGCAGCAGAAATGCGCCTCCCCCTTGAAACGGCAAAAGCTTGCCACACAGATCAGGAGGAGACACCGACTGGAGAGCTCATATGGCAGAGGGGCTGTGAGGGTACACAGGGTAGCTCCTCCGCCCCACTGCACTGGGCAGCTAGGGTGGCCATGTGTCCTCTGTCTGAAGGGATGTCCAGTCAAAGGAAGAGCTGGGCTTCGGCACTGCCCATCAAGAGCACACAGGTCATCTGCTCAGAGTTTTCCACACCATTGCGAGACAGACTGTATTTCTGTTTTAACTGGAGCATTTTTTTATACATTTGCATCTCTACATATAAATTAACGTATGCAAATCAGTGTTCTCTTTAGGCTTCTTTTTGGGCAATCCACAAGTGGCCACCCAAGCTACACCATCCACATGCTTGGTAGACATGCAAAGGAGCACTGTCAAGTGCATGGAGCACATGGGGGACTGAGGCGATCCCGCTTGGCCCAGGATCTCCTTATGAAGAGGAGCTCTACACCTTTGCATTAGCATGACCTATGTAAGGCTCCTTCCTACATGGGCCGAAGATGCAGTTGGTGGAGGAGCACTTGTCACCTGGTATAGGATTGGAGCTTGCATTCAGTCTTGCTGATCCCACATAACTCCTCTAACTTGTTTCCTCTAAATGCAGGCCACTTCTAAGCACACTTCCTGTCCTAAGAACCCTTCTGGCTCTGTTTCAGCCTGAAAATATTTCTGAAGAATCACCATACTTACTGTGTCTGGTTCGGTGACTTAACTACTCTGAATGTACCAAGGATCAAGTTTGTTTCTCCTCGGAGCATGGTTGCCACTTAACCTGTAAAATGCTGCCAAACTGTTCTCATGGAAGAGGAAAAATAAAAAAGAGTTGCTATTCAACTGGAATCCCATATATTTTTGCAATAACGGCTCAAATTCCCCTTCCTGAAGGATGGTTTTCCATCCTGCTTTTCTTTGATGCATTCATTTCCTGCTAACCTTGAGAAAGCCAATCAGTTACTCAGCTGTTGAATGTCTAGTAAAACTTTTGGCTTCCATCAGGGCTGGTGCAGGATGTAAAGCATTACCCTTTATCCCCAGCTAAGAATATTCCAAGTTTTGATTTTTTCTTCAAGCCTTCCTTTGAATTTCTCTATATGATACTGTTTCCTGGTCCAGTTAATTCCACCATGACCCCTGCTTTGTTCAATCCAGCATCTCATCATACTGAAGGATTGGAATGACTTTTTGATTGCACTGATCTTTAAGTCGGATATACGATTTCTCCAAACAACCCAGCCTTTCAGCTTCAGCTGGAAATAATACTGATCTTTTACACAAGGAGAAGGTGTGGATCAATGTTATAGAAAAAGCTGCCTCAAACTGACCGTGGGTTCACACCTTGTCAAGATCTGTTGTGGCTGAGGCTGGCTGCTCTGCACAGGGGCTGTACCAGGGACTTTCCGCATGGCTCTGCTGATCGGAAGCAGCCTTCACCCTGACTGGTGGCCACTTGGCTGGTCTCCCTCCCTCTCTGGACCTTGAATGGCAGCACTGGTTGTAAGAACAAG